AGAGGCAGGCGGCCGCCGTGGCCCCCGAGGCTTGGCTGCACCACGTGCTGGGCTTTGTCACCGAGGATGGAGACACGTAGGTACCCGAGGTGCCAGGGTGCCAGGCCGGGGTCTCGGGGGGCACGGTCTGGGGCCAAGGAGGGCCAGCCCAGAAGTCGCTGGCAGAAAGGGGGCCCAGCCTGGTTTCCCCCGAAACACTCGCGTGCCGTGCGCTCGCCTGGGACGAGCAGCCACGGCTTTCCCGGTGAGCACCCAAAGGGCAGACCCCACACCTGGCGCTTTCAGAATGAGGTGGCACGCAGGCCCCAGACTTCCTCGGGCCCGCGGTGGCTGCCGGTTGGGACAGCCCTGACGGGCAGCGGTGGCTCCAGAGTCTGGAAAGCTGCACGCAAGCCCAATTTTCTTGCTCTGTTCTTGGGCGGTTTAGTAATTTTAGACCACGCTGTCCGATGCATTAGTTGCTTCGGTTACGGTTTCATTTTGAGGTATGTCTTCTACGATGAGAGAGCTCGTATTCAATTGATGGGGCCCACGGAAGACAAGCGTTGGGCTACTAAGTCACAATTTGACGCCCCCCCATCACCTTCAGAGAACATAGAAGATGCTGTCTCCAAGCGATGGGAGCTGTAGTCTTGCACATTGGAAGTGCATTGGATCCGGGAAGTCTGGATGCCTTGGGAGAGGAAGTTGGGAAGTAGCAGCAGCAACATTGTACAAATTGGCACTTCTCCTTCTGTACCACAGAACATTTTCCCACGCATGACTTCTGCCTTTCTTAGCAGCGTTTGCTCTTTCCTCTTGTTCCAGAGCACTTCACTTGGCTGTGATCCATGAGCACGAAGCTTTCCTGGACTCCATTCTGCAATACACCCAAGGAACAGATTACCTGGACATCCAGAACGACCTTGGGCAGGTTAGATGGCAGGCCGCTTTGCTTCCCTCGAGTGGGTCCTTGCCGTCCCAAGGCCCCAAATGTATAGTGAGAATGACAAGACTGTGCGGCAGACCTGAGAACAGAACCTTGCGTTTGTTCAATTTTAGAAGGTCAAGGCCAAGTGCAAAAAAGGGGATAATCCTCCAGAATAAGACTCAGAGATTCTGAGCAAAAATCAAAAGTAAAAATGATAATATCCCTTATCAGGAAGCATTTAGAACAGCAAATAGAAATCAAAAGTAAAAATGATAACATCCCTTATCAAGAAGCATTTAGAACAGCAAATACAATTGAGTGGATGGTGGCTTTAAATCTTAAGAAAGCCGGTATAACAGGCTGGGTCACCGTAAAGGTGTTCCGCTTACCCACCCCCAGAGTTTTCCTTGTGATTAGCACTTCATTTCTGACAAGACATACTTGCAGAAGGCCAGGTGGCTGGGCAAATTCAGAGGGGAATAGGCAGTCTTTTAAATCTTCCATGGCTTCTGCCTGGCCTGTATCACTGGGTAGAGCTGGCATGTTCCCAGCCATGCCCATTAAGCAGAACCACCTGATGGGACCTAGGAAGTGGGCCTCTCTGCCGCACCACCTGCCCTCTGCAACATCTCCCCTGCAATGGGTCTGGTCCCCACCCAGGTCGTGTTCAAAAGAGCTCTGAAATCTTAGCTCTTTCCCCAGACCCTGGATCAGAGCAAGCGGCAGGTCCCGTACGTTTAATTGTCTCGTAACGGTTGTTTTTCTTCCGGCATTTGGGTGTTTTTTGTTTTAATTGTATTGTGTGCCCCCCAGAGTCATTGTAGAGGTGGGTGGCCTTGTACGTTCCTAAAATAAATAAATAAATAAAGATGTCTTTCCTGATCGCTGTAAAACCTTTTAACTGCCTTTTCTCCTGGAGAGCACAGAGAGTGGATGCCTGAACAGATAATTCTGGGTTTGATGGACAAACAGATGTTTCGTAGGGCAGTAGATCTCACTGTTTAATTCAATGGTAGAAAGTGCCCGCCTTCCCCACTTCACTTCTATGGCTAAATTCACACAGAAGACTAAGCCAGGTTCTGTTTTAGCCATGGTTTGTGGAATAAGCATCAGTGGCCTGGTTCTCTTGGAAAGCACTGAGCTGTAATGGTAGGTTCATACACTGTTTTGTATTAAAAACAAACCACTTTAATATTGGTTTGTTTGTTTATTAAATTTGTATGCCGCCTGTCTCCCCCAGCGGGGGACTCTGGGCGGCTCGCAATGTACAGACCAGGCCAGCGGATCAGATACTTTTTAGGCCTGGTGTAAACAGTCTGCTAAACAGAAACATCTTTGGTTTTCTCTTAAAATACTGTATTATTATATCTCTCTGCTGCCGTGGGTTTTAATTTTCGTATTGATGATGTCATTGTTTTTATTTCTATTTGATATTGTTCACGGCCCAGAATCGCTTATTGAGATGGGCCGCTTTACAAATTGATTAAAGGAGGAAATAAATTAGCCCGGCCAGTGTGAGCCGTGACATCTGTATGTCCGCCAAGGTTTAGCATGCTGTGCAAAACCCTCCGGTTGTGGCTCCTGCCGCCGACCGGGGTCCAGCCCATTGGGCTTTTAAAAACCATCACTCTCAAGCTAAAAGTTTCCCTCCTCCCTCTCTTTCCCGCAGACCGCGCTTCACATAGCCGTCATCCTCGGGGCGTCCAGCTTTGTCGGCAAACTCGTGTCGGCGGGAGCTGGGCTGTGCGTGCAGGAGAAAGGCGGTCAGACGGCCTTGCACTTGGCCTGTCGAGAGGGATGGCGGGAGTGCGCTCAGCAGCTTCTCGCTCCACTTGCCACCCAAAGGCCCGGCCAGGGCGACAGTTTCCGGGCCCAGCTGGATTGCACCAATTACGACGGTAACCTGGAAGTAGCTAGAACTGTCCTTTTTGAAGTCTGCTGTAAACGTAGAGTCTGTTAGAGAGCTGGGACCACACGTTTCTAATCCTCATGGCTGTGGGGAAAACGAGGAGATCATCAGCAGGTTTTCTGAATTTGCACAAATATAAATTGATCTGGAAATTGATCAGTGGGTGGGATTCTAACCTCATGTCCGGTGGTGGTCTGTTATAACTAGAAGTCTCCTGGTAAACAAATTTATGTCTTTAACTTTTTTTCCCCCCTTTACAATATGATTTTTCCTCTGCTTCTGTCTGTCTTTTGTTTACTTTTGCTGTTTTCCATGGTTAAAAATTTACCTCCTTGCCTGATTTGCATAGATTACTTAGATCCTGGTGGAGTGATCTGAACCGTATTGGAGCAAATGTATTTATTTAGTACAATGGGTTACTTTTGAATTCCAGTGTGGTAGGTCAAACCAAGATGACATGTTGTTTTTCTACTCTGTAGCCCAAGTTGACCTCATAGAATTATTTGCTTTGTTTGTTTCTCAAACCCCGCCCCCTCCCCCCAGGTTACATCCCCCTACATGTGGCCATCCTACGGAAAGACTTGGATATGGTTAGTCTCTTAATCTCTGGAGGATCAGATCTCAACAAGCCGGTTAGTTTTGGAGCTGATGAAATCTCAAAAGATCTATGTCAGTGTTTCTCAACCTTAGCAGCTTGAAGATGTGTGGACTTCAACTCCCAGAATTCCCCAGCCAGAATTCTG